AAATGTATTACCAAAGATATATAATGGTACTTCCTGATTATAACAGAATAAATACATCAGGAAAACATAACAGATACCCAAGAGTACTGGTTTCAAATATTAGTTTTATTACTCACATAGGTATGCCTTTTGTAGGCTGATGTAACATTGTTGAACATGAGTTTTCTAATGTGTGAAATTGTGGTAACACAGCAGAACAAAGTTATCTTGAGATCCAAATGTAATTATGTATTTAAGACATCTGTTTTCTCCTTTTAAGGAAAGACACCATGTGAAAAAGGAAGTAAAACAACCTCAGTGGTAATGTCACATTACATGAAATTAAAATAGCCTCTCTAAGTTGCAAGTAAAGGAAAAGAAAAGGGTCACAGGAAGAAATTTTTAAAAATATATGTACTGTATCTATTAAAAGGAAGTTATATTTAAAGAAAGGAAATAGACCAAAAGTGTATGTCTGGAGATCATACTATCTTCAAGTCCAAGATTTTTCTAAGCACTTTAATATTTTCATCATCTATCCATACCAGATAAAGGTATTTTCTTTCTAAATTTTCTCTAATAAAAGGTCATTTCCAGAATTTACTAAGTAAGTAGCCCCATTTTCATGATTTTTTAAGATCATGATGGTATTATCATGTTGCTGTATGGTCTGTAACAACTAGCCTACTAACACCTTTGTGGTATTACTAACTTGACTGTCTTTCTCCATGGTCATCTATGAATCAACTTTTTAATCTTTTCTGTCCTTCGCTACTACAGGAAACTGCTTTTTTCCTTAAATATGAGCAAAGATTTATGCTCTTCAATTAATCTCACCAAAGATACAATTTTCCTGCTATAGCAATAGCATGTAAATTAATCTCCACTTACAGGTTCATGGTGTCTTCTCAAAGAGGAGTCACATGCTCATGACTTCTTCTCTGACTCTCTGCAGATTTAGGAAATTCAAAAGCACCGACTTCATTCATGGAATGGGGATTCAAATCTCACCCTGTCTCTCTTGCCCTTTATATAGTATACTGCAGTGATTTCACACACAAGATTAGGTCAAGATTCAAAATAATAAAGTGTACACAAATGTGACTATTTTCAACAAATAATGAGGAAATGTAAAAATACATAGTCATTTAAATTTTCCACAAACGTGTTCAAATAAATATTTAAATACAAATTAAATGAAAGAAAACCATAAACCATGTTTACGTTTCCTTTAGAAAAGGAAACGAAGTTTTTCAGAAAGAGAAAAATAATTTATGTGTGTACATGTGTATATAGTGATATAACAACTACACTATGATTATAGATTCTGTTTCATATAATTAAAAATATCACTTAATTATCCCTAAATATAATTTTGAAGTTTCTCTAAATAACTGAAATGAAACATTATAAGAATCTGATCATATGAAGAGTGAAGAAACTGTTTCAGTAGAGGCAAACTGATTTCTAGCAGATAGATTGTTATTAAAATTGTTTGATCTTTGAATGTTTAGCAGCTTTGTCTTCCATGAAATTCATACAAATATACATACTTACATATATTTCATATGTAATTCTTCAAATTTTCTCTAAACATTAGTTGCAACATTTTATATCACCATGTGTGCTATATATGTTTTTAACCAAAAGTGTGTTCAAAGACTGAATTTTGTGTCCCTGCAGAAATCTTTTCTTGATTTCTTTTTTAAGAACATTTCAGTCTTCCACAAAGTTAGAATCTGATTTTATTAAATGTGACTTGGAAAGCTGAATATTTGTGTTTTCAGAAAATACGTTAATCCACATATTTGCAATGATGCAAATATTCTGAAATTCTTAAAAATATAAATAAAATATGACCTTAATAGGCTATATGGTTAGGATTTCATGCCGATAAATAAACACATGATTTTTAGAAGATTTTTTATTCGATACAAACTTTGAGGAGAGGTCACAATATTACACAAGATGAAGTCGTGATAGGTATTTTAGGAGAGAAAGAAAAGAAACATGAAGTGAGTTGATAAGTGAACTGGGACTGGGCATTTAAGAAACTTGTAGGTAAACCTGAAGATACTAGTTAGTAAAAGAGTTACTTCCAGTTTCTTCCACGATGAGAAAAATTCTTACATTTAAAACATTTTCAACATCTGCATTTAGGATGAGTAAGAGAGACTTGAAGCAGCAAAAAAATGTTAGCATGTACTCAAATTGTGGCCTTAATACTGTGAGGTTTGCAATAAATAAGTTATTTAGAAGAGGTATGTGAAAGATACAAATTAAAATTTATCAGTAATTGATATTTTATTAAATGTAATAAAGAAGAAACAACAGTTCTAAACTTTGAAGGACACTTTGAAAGACATTTTGTAAAATAATCTGTTTCTCTAAGAAAGCATGAGTTCATATACAACATTCAGAAAAGGATTATTAAGTATTTTTGCTTCAGAAAAACTTTGGAAGTGATGATAGTGTAATCATTTCCAATGTTTAATATTAAGCATGTTAACATAAACTTGTTTGAAAATTATCTAATTCACAAATACAGTACTGTATTTATCACTCAAGCTCATCTTTAATTCTTAGGTAGCACAACAGTTTGAGAAACACTGAACTTAGAGTCATGAACAACAAAACGAAAGAAACTGATACTTAAAATTCCTGAATATTCAAACATTTTTAATGACAAGTAAATCTCTAGCATGACTGGGAGTTTGTTAGGCCTAAAGAATTACTACTTGACAACACTTCAATATTAATATTCCATTTTCATATGTCATTATAAACTTATTTTGATTCTGGAGGTGATTATTGCTGTAGCATAGTAGCGTAGTAGGAACAAGCTAGGTTATTAAGAAAGCAGCAAATTCACTGGACCTATAATGAATTTCACTGCAATTAACATCATCTAAATACTTACTGGAAAGAAGATCTAATGAGACAAGATGAGTAGTCTAAAGAAGCAGTGAACTTTGTGGTCACCTTAGTAATTTCTTAAGAATTACTAATACTCTGTTATTTATGTATAGTTTATTTAAATTGATATGTCACCTACAATACAAAGTTAGCACCATGGATACCATCAGGATGTTAGACAAAAATGAGAAAGCTTGGCATTGGGTATTAGAGTCTGCTGATCAGATAGTAACTTTTGCGAGGAAGGGTCAGTGAAAGAATACTCTCAGGTCCAGAGAAAGGAAGGAGGAATAAAAAGTTCTTTTGGATGTTAGGTAAAATCAATTGTTCTCAGCCCTGGCTATATATTAGAAACATGATGCTTTAATAAGTATTAGTTTTTCTCACCAGATAATTTATTTCAATTGCTATAGCATGAAATTTATGCATGTATTTATTTTAATACCTCTGATCATTCTAATAGGACCCCATAGCTGATAATTCATAGGTTAATGATTCTCAACCTTTAATGTGTATCATAGTCATCCAATGGACTTAAGACATCCAGTGCTTGACCCTCTCCCCAGTTACTGATTCTGTCAGCCTAGGATAAGGCCAGAGATTTTGCTTTTCCAATAAGTTTCCAGGTGACGATGATACCGCCAACCTCAAAGACCACACTCTGAGAACTACTTCTGTATGTTAAAACAACAAAAACAAAATATTTCCTTAATAATTTTGATGACCAGTTTTTAAGCCACATACTTCTATATAGTCATCATGTCATATCTGCAATTGCATAAATTTAAAGAAAAACAATTTATAAATTGTCACCTTTAAATAATCATATAATAAAACAACTAAGACCAGTGAAATTAGTGACATTTGTTAAACTGTATCTTTGTAATCCAATAATGGACTTAAATTTTCATAAATAGATGCTTTTCCTTAAAAGCCATCATGATATGCCAGCAATCAGTTTTAAAATTCAGCATTTTAACTTAATTTTTATTTATCTGTATGAAATTATCAAGCCTGAACTGAAAATCATTCCTGTAAAACTTTCCCCAACAATTTAGTTTTAAAGTTTAAAAAATACTTTGTGTGTTTATCATTATATTTTATACATAAATTAGGACCTTGAAGTATATTTAATTAAAGGAAATTAAATATGTATATAAAATTTGGTTACTATTTATAGCTATATTAAAAAGTAGAAAGAGCCATGATATTTTTTCAGCTTCTTTGGTTTAGAAAAAAATGAAATGAATGCTGGCTTTGTCTATTTTTTTGCACTACATTTAAATTGCTAATTGATTTCAGAATATGAGTTGTCATTTAACAAACTAGCATTGAATAAATATGATAGTGCATAGTACTGTATTAAAAATGAGTATGCTTCTGGAAATACAAATTAATATTATTTTCTCAAAGTCATTAAATGTATAGAATAGAAATCAAATAGCTTCGAAAATCTTACAGCACATAATTGTATAATTCTAATGGACCACTATGTTTCAAAGACAGTTTTTTCTGTACATCACAATGTAATTTACCCTTAGAAACACAATAAAATATTGATTTTCCTTTTCTCTTTTGAAAGAAAATATGTTTCATTTCAGTGGGAAAATTGTAGTTATGTAAATAATGTGGTATATTTCTAGATAAAACAGTTAATTATCTGGTAAATTGTTACAATTTCATAAGAATTTCACAGCACAATGTGTCTAGGAGACCTGGAGGATTTATGTTAGTGCATGATTTTTGATAGCAAGCAGTAACGCTAATAGGTAACATATAGTATTGTCTGGTGAATGTCAGCACCAGGCTGTAAATGAAAAGCTGACCATAAATGCCAAGTGGATAACTAGGGACTGTAATACAGCAAAAAATAAAGTTGTTACCCAATCTGATAACTTACATAAATAGCAAGGTCAAGATGAACTCTGACTCCAAGTCAGCAAGCAGACAAGGAACTCTGCAATTTGGTCCAGGATAGTGTAATTTAGAGATCAGTTAACAACTCACAAACCAAGAAGTACAGAAAGGTCAAAATTTATTGCTTTAGATTTGACTGTTTCTTTCTTGATATTGTATGTAAACAAAATTCATGTTTTTAAGTGGAGTAATGAAAATGAAAACAAATAAATCTTATGACCCGTTGATAAATTTATAATGAAAAACTGAGTAATTTAGAAAAAGACCATTTTGTTTTTAAATATGTTCTCTAAAAGTTAATTTACTCTTTCATCTGTTTGCTTAGCATTCACTTACAAGGTACCTACTGTATTTTCAAGCATACAGTAGTTTTTAATTTGTAGTGGCTTATTAACTAATTTTAAAAATTCAAATGTTTTCAATATTGCCTCATTACTCAGCCTTCATAAAAAGGTTTCAGTGAACAGTTCTCAAACTCTTAGGAACTTCAGCTATTTAGTTATCATGTAAATAAATGTTTGCCACGTCCCAAAAATCAATCCTTTTGACATGTAATTTTAGTTACAGGCTTCTCAGATACCAAATTTCATTTATTCTTACTATCCCAATGGTCCTTTAATGCTAAGTCTTGAATTTCTGACTAACATTTATTACTCAAGTGTGAATATTTAGAGGGAGGAATAATTCAGTGCTTCCCTACGGTATCTCACTTCATCTTTGAATATTGAAGTGAATATCTGTTGTCACATTAATTTCATCCTTTTATTTCACCTTTCTAAATACATTCTTTGAATGATTAAAAACAAGACCAATTAATACTTCCTTTTGTCAGCTTAAGATTCCTGTGATATACCTTGGGTCTCTTACTTAATTAAATTAATTTATTTATTTATGGAGCTTTTTAGAGGCAGTTTTGATTTGGTAAAACAAACAAGGTCAGCAATAGACTTTTCCAGTTCTCTTTCTTAAGAACTATATGACCGCGGGCAAGTCATTTGACAGCAGTTTCCTTTTATATTAAAATATAACAAGTCTCTCAGCTTTGTAGTATATATTTTATTTTCTGTTTAGACAGCAACATCATTTTGTTTCTTTTTTTGTTACCTTCAGCAGTTTTTNGTGTAATCATTGAAATCATATTTTATGTAATCCTCAGTTATAGCAGTATGTGGCACTGATTCCATGACATTCGTTTTATTTTTTGAATGTCATTTTAAAATTTGTGTTCATAGAATGCCTTATGATTAACTCTGTTTTTGTTCTCCATTAAAATATTTTCTAATTAAAATTGTCAGATATTCTTTTTCAGACCTAACAAAAGCTTGCATCATTATTCTTTAATCATTAAGCCCAAAAAACTGACCATTAGCTTGAAGTGATCTATGATGATGTACCAAGAAATCCTAATATAATATTTTGAATGCCTATTTTTCAGACCATAGTTATAATTTTATTTGCATTATATCTAATAATCTTGAGCTGTCCTCACATAAGGTGATACAGTTACTTATTTCTTAGGTGCTCTTCATATCTGGTTCATTGTAAATAGTTATTAATTGGTTATAATTAAATCTAAAGTATCTTTTCTATATTGAAGGAAGGGGAAAAGGCATATCAAGACTATTAAATCTAATTTTATGTAAATGAGAATTCCAACAGACAATTGAATAATCACAAGTGATTGTCACTATGTCTTACTTTGTCAGTCTTTTTGTCTTTGCCATGAAGTGTTGATCAATTTGTTCCAGGTTTGTTCTTGAAACTTAAATCATATCTCGTCTTTTATATCTGATAAAGAAGTTATTGATAATTATCTAACCTCTGATTTGCAGAAATCCAGAAACATTTTGGTATGAGATATTTTTATGTTCCGTAATAAAGACCCATTTCAATTTATGTAATGAAAGGTCTACTCTATTTCATGCACATCCAACATATTTAAACATACTTCAAAATAAAATCTCATACTTAAATCGAATATTTCTCATTACCCTGAAAATTCGCTGTTAGTTTTATTAGCTGAATCTACTGTTGTGAGGCAAAATTCTTTACTTGGCAGTGTTTATCTCCATTTTGTTTAACACCATTACTGTGCCATTTCATCTACTTTTTAGGTACTTAGTATTCCTTTCATAAAGTTTATCTTAATGTACTACCTCTTTATTTTTAATTACTCTTCACTCTATTTGAAACAGCAATACGAATATGTGCCAGATATTATAGAATATGATTTCTTACTCCCTGCTGTTTATTGAAGTAAAGCATGAATCACAGTATATAATCTTGATGGCATGTTTTTTTGATTCATAAATGTAAATGGCAAAATACCCATTGCCACTAGAAAGCCTTTTAAGATTATTCTTTATTATATTCATAGGCATTTGATCTATTCAAACCATTTACTTTATGTTCATAAAGCATCAAGACTTCTGTCACATCTAATTTATAAACAGAGATTATTTTAAAGGTTTTCTAGTTTGGTGAATGTAGATTTTTCTCTCACATATAACTACTATATATATGATGTATTTTATTTGAAATACATAATCTTTATTTCCTGTTTGGTCTATACAATATTTAAACATTTACATTGTAATTGGCTTAGCTAGTGTTTCTGCAAATACCAAGGTATAAATAAGTTCTCTGCTATTCTTTGCATATATGAAAAATTGTTACTTTTAAAAAACTTCATCATAATTTCCTTATGGATTTCAATTTTAGCTTCCTTTTATTTATAAGAATTTTGCTCTTAGCTCTTCTGCCACTTAAAAAGGAAGAACTGAATAGAAGAAATATAAATAATGTTTCATTATTCTTTAGCTTAAGGAGTGAAATGATATTGATGAAATCAAAACAAAATTTATTGGTAATGTTGTAAACACCATTTCGTGGCTCTTCTAACAGCATCTAATTACTACATAAGTAAAAGCTGTTCTGAGCCCTAAAAATGTGTGTGACTTCTTGAGAGTTAAATTTATAAGTTGACAAAACTGGCATTTAGCTTCCATTTATAGTGTCTCTTCTGGTCCAAAAGATAAGCCAATTTACTGCTGGTACATATTGTCATTTATTCTCAACAACGAGAAAACATTTTGGCAGTGAGAGCTTTACTAGATGAAATGGGAGTTTAGTTTCAGCTTGACTAGTTCCAAGCTTACTCAAGTACTTTAAATCTTCATTTGTAAGTCATCCTTTCTCACATTAAGAGAAACAGAATCTCAGCTGGATTCATCTCAAGCACAGAATTTGCTTCTAAAATCCTGAGGCTATAACAGTGACATCTCCAAAGTTACAAATATCTGTGCGCTAACCCTTTTACTCAAAGAAAAT